CGACGGCAGACGAAGCCTTACAGCTTCTGTCACGTTTTGAACGTGAAGCTGCTGAGCAGGAATCACAGGGCAAGGGTGTGCGCAAGAAGCACAGACGTGCCTGAATTTTTACATCGCTATGGCACTACCATTACGCGCTGGGACGAAGTACTAACAAGAGGTTCGCTCCAGTTGTGGTATGACCAGTTGACGCATACGACGTGAGACAAATTTCTAGTTTTCCTTTCTCAGCTTGAAGTGTTGTTGTGGGCAGCCACACAGCATACATACTTAATATAACTTACTTCTTCTTTTGCCAAATAAGGCTCAGGTCCTCTGCAAGCCACGACCTACAGCTAACACCTTGCTGAGAGCCCCTCTGCGAGCCAAGGGTTGTCACTTTGAGATATCTCAAACCTTGTGGAGGCAAGGAAGGCAAGAAAGTAACAATGAGTGAAGAAGGTGCGGATGTGTCCAGAACAGTAACGTTCCAGGTTACGACACGAAAGAAGACTACGGGTCGCGAACGTGAGTTTATCAAGATCAGTATTCCGCGTTTTAGTGGAGGCTCGGCTCAAGAGTGGCTGCGGTGGATACAGCAGTTCGAACATCTGAGTATCATGAAGAAGTGGACGTCTGAAGAGAAGTCACAGCACTTGCATTTAGTGCTTGACGATGAAGCCTTGGATGCGTGGATTGACACAGCGGAAGATGTGGACATGACGGACAAGGATGCCTTTCAGAAGGCATACGAGTCGTGGGGTCACATGTTTGTACCTAATATGTACCACGAGCGGCTCGAAGAAGAGCTATTTCTATTTGCGAAGCGTCGCAATGAAACGGTCGCTGAATGCCATCAGCGAATGCGTCAGATTATTCGCATGCTTAAGAACCTACCAACCAATGCTCTGGAAATAGACGAGCAGTCAATGATCCGTACATTTAAGCGGGCCATGCCAAACGAGTGGAAGACCGCCTATGAGTTCAGCGGAGTTCACCTCACCACCATGCCAAAAGCCGTACAGTACTTCGAGAGACTCGAGCAGTCCGAGCGACGTCAAGGTAAAGAGCGCCATGCTGGAGGGTGGAAACAGCATGCCAAGCAGAATGGCAGTAAGCAGAATGGCGGAAAGCCGAATGGTGGGAAGGCCAATGGTGGGAAACACTTCGGGAAGAAGAACAAGAAGGAGTTTAACTCGTCCAAGCAGTTCCAGTCACGTGATAAGACCAACAGTGATAAGTGGTGTAGCTTACACAAGACAAGTTCGCATAGTGACAGCGAGTGTTTTACGCAGCAGAAGAATGCGTCGAGAGGTGGTACTAGTCAGTGGTCAGCAGCAAAGAAAACGGAGGAGGCGAAGATGACAAACGTCGAAGAAATGGCCTCGGATTACTCGTTCAGCGATGAAAGTGAGTGTAAGGCCATCAGCAGAATACTGAATGACAAAGAGCCAGGCAGGAAGCCGCCAATGCGTCTCCGTTTCCGACTGTGTAAGACATTGCAGGAGCGCGTGGCGTTAGTTGACACAGGTTGCGGAACAAGTTTCATCAATGCCGATCTATTAGCAGCTAATCAAGAACTTGGGTTCGAAATGACTCCCTTGGATCTGACTTATGAGCAAGTCGGTGGGTATGTCAAAGCTTCAGGGTCTACGCCAGTTCAATTCCGGTTTATGGATTTGAATTATGGATCTCGCATTACGCACACATTTTCAGTCATTAACAACACCAGAGACGAGATGGTGATTGGACGGGATCTGTTGAGTGCACTCGGGGTAATTGTCAACTTCCGGGACGGAATGGTGGAGTGGAAAGGCAACACTGTGGCAGTGAACACTGGAGACAAGTCCAGGGTGAGCGATGAAAGAGGAGGCGAAGACGTGCAGGAGGAGGTGAAAGAAATCAACGACACGTCAGTGGAACCGAAGGATCTGGTGGGAACGGCAGATATTGACCAATCCACATACGAGCAGATTCTGGTGCTGTTAACGCAGTTTGAGCAGCTGTATAATGGACACTTAGGACGGATGACATTTCCAGATTATATTCTGCCTATGGCAGAACAGTACACGCCTGTCCAAGCTCGCCCATATTCGATTCCAAGGTCTGAAGAGAATGCAGCACGAAAAGAGATTCATCGACTCATGCAAGTCGACGTGTTGGAACAGATCTTTGGTAGCGAGTGGTCTTCCCCAGCGTTTTTCTTGAAGAAACCAGATGGACGTCTGAGATTGCTAACTGACTTCAGAGCTTTGAATAAGTTCCTGAAGCGTAACCCATATTACGTACCCCTAATTAGGGATGTTTTCGTTCGACTTGGTGGTGCAAAGTTCTTCTCAACACTGGATGCTAACATGGGATATTACGCTAGACAACTGGCTGAGGAGAGCAGGCCGTTTACTGCATTCTGTACTCCGTTTGGTAAATTTCAGTATAAGAGACTGCCGATGGGAATCTCAACGGCGCCAGACGAATACCAAGCGTGTATGTCAAGAGTTTTAGGCGATTTGGACTTCGTTATCGTCTATCTAGATGATATTCTCATTTTCTCCAGAACGGCAGAAGACCATTTGGAACATCTACGAGTGGTGCTTTCACGTTTGCAGGAGTTCAACGTGACACTGAATGGTAAGAAATGCCGTATCTTCTGCTCTAGTGTGGAGTACTTGGGCTTTACCATTAATGCAGACGGGATCAAGCCCCAAGAGAAAAAGATTCAAGCCATTCTCCAAATCCAACGGCCAAAGAATAAGAAAGAGCTACGTCGGTTTATCGGTATGATAAACTATTACCGGGAAATGATACCGAGTAAGACAGCGATGTTGAAGCCGCTGACGAGATTAACGTCACCGAAGGTTGTATTTCAATGGACATCGAGCGAAGACGACGCTTTTGAAGGGATCAAGAAAGCTTTAGCAAGGGCCGTACTTCTGACCTTTCCAGATTTCTCGCAACCGTTCGAGATTTATGCAGATGCGAGTGGAAAGCAGTTGGGTGGATTGATCGAGCAACAAGGGAAGCTGATAGCATCGTACTCTAGAAGCCTCACTACAGCACAACAGAATTATACAACGACGGAATTGGAGTTGTTGTCTGTGGTTGAGATCTTGAAAGAGTACAGATCAATGCTACTTGGATTTCCAATTGTGGTCCATACAGACCATAAGAACCTCATTTATCCAACGGAAAATTCCTTACGGGTCAAGCGCTGGAAATTACTTTTGTCGGAATACCATATCACGTGCAAGCACATTCCAGGGAGAGACAATATCGCTGCAGATGCGTTTTCTCGAATGACGTACGACACGAGTAAGAAGACAGGAAATGCTGAGCTAGAAGCCCTGTTAATCGATCCGGTTGAGTGTGTGCTTGACGGAAATTACATCAAGCAACACCAGGATGCAGACTCGACCACACAAAACATAGTGCAAACATGTATGAACGGCACCAACAATCCCGATTATCAGATCGAGAACATAATGGGTGCACGTCTTCTTAGTTGCCAGCATCGTGTTGTGATTCCAAAGGAATTACGTCAAGAATTGGTGGAATGGTATCACACTCAGTTGGTTCATCCAGGTGCGAAACGCCAATATCACACGATGAAGTCGTTTTACTATTGGTCCGGTATGGAGCGTACAATCGTAGATTTCGTGAAGAAGTGCTTAACATGTAAGCGTGCCAAGCTACACAATGGGCCACAAGCGTATGGCAAACTACCACCGCGTCAAATGCATAACGTCGATCCATTTGATGTAGTGCATGTGGACACCATGGGACCGTATGGTAGTGACCGATACTACGCCTTGACCGTGATTGATGAAGCCACGAGATGGTTAGAAGTATCGATCCAAGAGAACAACAAAGGAAAAACCACTGCAGAGAACTTCGACGTGACGTGGTTATGTCGTTATCCAAGACCAAAGGAAGTTGTATTCGATCGAGGTAATGAGTTCAACACAACAGAGTTCCGTGAGATGCTTGCGAGCTATGCAGTCAAGCCGAAACCAATATCCTCGAAGAATCCTCAAGCCAATGCAATTTGTGAACGAGTACATTTGGTACTAAACAACTGTATTCGCTGTTATCCGGAGGCAGACTGGCGTCAAGTTATTCAATACGCTGCATTCGCAGTACGTGCAAGTTTTCACACGATTCTGGATACAACACCTGCACATCTGGTCTTTGGGCAGGACTTGATTACACGACAACTTCATGAAACGAATTGGAGTTATCTCACTAAGCGCCGATTTGAAGCCATATTGAGAGACAACGGGCGCGAGAACACCAAGAGGCTGGAGCATTTCTATCACCCAGGAGATCAAGTAATGATTCGAGTAGCTGCAAAAGATCGCGGCAACAAACACCGTGAGGTGGCCAAAGGACCATACTCCATCGTGGAAGTGCACGGTAATGGCACCGTGACGCTGGATTATGGAGTGACGCAGGAGCGCGTCAACATTCGACGTCTCTTTCCATGTTGAGCGGCAACTGGCATGGGGGTGAATAACAAGAGGTTCGCTCCAGTTGTGGTATGACCAGTTGACGCATACGACGTGAGACAAATTTCTAGTTTTCCTTTCTCAGCTTGAAGTGTTGTTGTGGGCAGCCACACAGCATACATACTTAATATAACTTACTTCTTCTTTTGCCAAATAAGGCTCAGGTCCTCTGCAAGCCACGACCTACAGCTAACACCTTGCTGAGAGCCCCTCTGCGAGCCAAGGGTTGTCAGTACTCTGGTACTAACAACAGGAGTAGTCGATGAATGAGCAACACACGTTTTTCTCATACATACTTCGAATGTATGAGAAATCTCGGTTGACGAGAGAAACTCGTTGACACACGCGGCAGCTATCATGCGGTGCGAATGTGGCCACTGGTTGTCGGATACGCCCGCCTTCACGGCGGCCACCCCGATACTATCTATAGTTGGTTAGGTACACCATCGCAGCCTTCTCTATTAATCCCTGAACACTGGAAATCGTCGCGGTCTGCACCGTCGCCGGCATGTTTGCGTTGAGGGGACGGTGCCAAAGTTGTCAATATCACTCATCGTGATTGTGCCGTAGTCGGTGAGTTGAGTGGTAGAATGAAAAGCCGGTCTTTTGCATCTAAATAAGCTCGGAGCAGCGGGAACATCGTGACACTTGCGCAAACGCCCGAACTTCCGCGTCCACGGACCAGAACGCTGACCACACGGCAGCGCTGTCAAACAACGCGCAGTCCACGTCCAGCTCGATCATCGCCAGCAGTGCTTTCCTCACCTTCCCGGCTCTCCACACCATCCACCCACTGCCGCCTCCCCGCTGTTACCGTTGCTGCAGTATCCGCCACCCGCATGCCGCCCTTCCACTGTCGCGGACGTCGCCACCCTTGCTCACCACCTCATTCACTCTGCCTCCTCACGCTTCTTCCACTCTAGCTCGCCACCATTGCCGCCACTCCACTCGCTCGCCGTCCCAACCTTCTCTTCCTCTTTCCCTCTTTTTTTAAACTTAAAGTAAAATGGTAAATATTTAAAAATAAATGCATACATTTTAACAGGTACATGCAGTATTTTTGTTTAAACCACATTTTATGTTACGGTCGGAGGTCGGAGATTTTATGGTATGGACGTCTGAAGAAATCATTTTTTATTTTGGACCAGCAAAATGACTGTTTTAATGCCTCCAGACCTCACTAAGCGCAAGAATCTGACACCGAAAGAGCGAGAGTACGCTCTGTCTCTAATGGCGTCGCGACGACCATGACAGTGCCAGACAAGACCTACGCCCGCGTTTCGGCTCTCCTCGGGTGTTCAGAGCGCCAAATTCACCGTCTGTGGTAGAAAGCTCGTGATGGGGTGAAGAGCGGCAAGTTGTGCGATGTGGAGAGCGGTAGGAAGGTGCGCAGTGGTAGGAAGTCACCGGTAGACGGCGAATTTCCCCGAGAGCTCGCAGAGAAGATCGCGCTTACGCCACTCCATCTGCGAACGAACCTTCGAGCTTTAGCGGAGCAACTCGGTATTGCCAAATCTACGCTGCATGTGTACCTACAATCTGGGTTGTTTCGGAGTCATCACGCTCGACTAAAACCTCAACTCACGGATGAGCAGCGCGTTGCAAGGATGGAGCTCGCTCTAATGTTTGTGGAACCTTCTACTCGTGGTGGATATGAATTTGACTCTCTTCTCAATTACGTGCATTTGGACAAAAAATGTTTTTTTTTCGAAAAAAAAAGAGGACACCCGCTATTACTTAGCTCCAGATGAGCCCGCTCCCCACATTACCGTGCACAGCAAAATCTTTCTGGTGAAGGTGATGATTCTCGTCGCGATTGCGCGCCCGCGGTGGGTGGCTGAGCAGAACACGATCTGGGATGGCAAAATAGGCACATGGCCTTTCGTGGTGTACGAACCTGCGCTGCGAAAGAGCAAGAGCAGAGCCGCTGGTACGCTTGAGCTCAGCACATATACGGTGGATCGTGACATATACGGTGCTTGCTTGGTCCATTCGGTCATCCCAGAGATCAAGCGACTATGGCCGTCTGGGAAGTGTGTCCGCCATCAACAAGACAATGCAAGACCGCATGTCTTACTGGACGACGTGGCCGTGATGGCAGCCTGTACTGGCGAAGGTTGGGACATGACCCTCACTGCTCAACACGCTAATTTGCCGGACTACAACGTGCTAGACTTGGGATTCTTTGCGTCACTTCAGACACTGCAGCATCGCTAAAAACGCCCGCACGATCGAAGAGCTAGTGAACAACGTCGAAGACGCTTTCCGAGCGCTTCCTTACGAGAATATAGACCGCGTATTCATGACGCGCAATCGGTATTTGAGGCTTCCTCAAGGTAGACGGGGGTTATAGCTACCGAATTCCGCATGAGAACAAGAAGAAGCTACTAAATGGCGCTGTACGTGGCTTGCTTCCTCAAAACCTTGGCTGTATTTCCGCAGTTTACCACAATGCGAAGAGTAGACTAAGTTCGGCTGTTTGTAGCAACCCAACAACAAATCGCACTTAATATTAAGCTGGTCTTTTATTTCTGGTCATGCTTAACTATGGGACCGGCCTTATATTTCTGGACAGAGAAGTAAATTGGAGCAGGTCCATAAACGCATAAACAGTCGCATCAGAAAAAAAACATTCTAAATAAAGTATGAAGCCGCTCACAATCCGTATCAATCGCTGCTTGTTGCTGTTGAGACAGGTGGCGCTTTGCATTTGAGCGTTGGGCTTATAGCCTGTCGGAGGGATGATTTGCGCAGAGTAATTGAACAGTACAGTATGGAGTGGGGACAAAAGTAGCGTAGTCTAGGCGGCCATAGTGGAGAGGAAGTCTTGAGTGTAGAAGGAGAAGACACTTGTGTTGGACTTGGTAAAAGGGGAAGTGATGAATTATAGAGTCTGGTGTTCTGGGGGGGGGTACTCTCCACCAACCCGTCCAGTTATATACGCTTTCTCTATATGAAATAGCACAATTATATTCCACTAGATAGTCATCATCACATGAAGATGCTTACTTCTACAGCCTCCCACATCGAGGAATGTGTATGATGCTCTATCTGTCGGGATAGTATTTAATGTACCACAGGTCGCTGTTTAGAACAGCCCTGTACGCACATGAACATTTACCAGAAGTAGGTCTTGTTTTTGATATTGATGATATTTTTCCTTTGACTTTCACTGTCAGATTTGTCATTTTGTTGCCGCTTTTGTTTTGGCAGCGACTGTGCTGATTTCATGTTTGCATTGTTATTTTGGCTACTCAGGAAAACCTTCCGTAGTGATTGTTGTTATTATCGTTTTAGTTATACGAATTCGTAGCAGCTACTTCAGGAAACCTTTAATTTTAAGGATCAAAACCTGTTCGCTGAATTGTTGCTGTTATCGTTTTAGTTATACGAATTTGTAGAAGCTACTCCAGGAAAATCTTTAATTTTGAGGATCAAAACCTGTTCGCTCTGTTGTTGCTATAATCGTTTTAGCTATACGAATTTGTAGAAGCTACTTCAGGAAAACCTTTATTTTTAAGGATCAAAACCTGTTCGCTCTGTTGTTGGCTACTCAGGAAACATTTGAGGCTACACCTGTTCACCGAATGTATCTCTTTATATTTTGTGTAAGCGTTTAGCTTTGTTCATTTCTTAAACTGCCATTGTTTTGCTCTTTCACGTGTGGATATTTCTTCACAATGTGTGATTTCGTATTTGTTTTTCGTTGCTGAGGTCTTATAGAATTGCCTCTCAATTTCATGAAATGGTTGATATAGGTGTTGCAGTGATTTTCAAATTGTTCTGACTATTTTTACTGAGAGTTTACAGTTTTCACATAATTTTGAAGAAAGGCTACAGCATTTTAAAAGCATGAATAACATCAAACAGTGTCATCGGTAGCGTACGCATCATATTTGCAGTAAGTGCGCAAGCTCTCGTCGTTGGGGTTATTTTACTCCCCAGAGGCTTATCGAGCTGCTTCTCGTTTGGAAGTTTATAATTATACTTTTTTCTTCGCAAGCGCTAGCGATAGATTTGCAAACTATCAATTTCATTGTAGATGGAATTGATGCAGTAAAACTATAGTTTGTTCTCTGTAGACAGAGGCTTTTGTAAGCCTGCCTTGTAGTCATAAAGTGTTGAATATTTATTTTCTCATTCTTTTGTTATGCTGGAAATGTTTGAAACTTTTGCCAGTGACAATAAATGTTAAAGTTTGGCGAATGCATGAATCGTTTTTGGCATTGATGCCTCCCAGTTTCATACATTTCTTCAAGTATTTGTCTCTCAACGTTTGGGGTATTTTTTTTGTCGTACAAGCTAGGCAGCCTTTGTGAAATTTGTAATTTTGTATTTGCATCATGCAAATTGCATGTTTGATTTTGTACATTATATTTCTTTTGTGAATGTAGCATAAATGAGTTTTGAGCTGCTAGGTAACAATGCTTGCACCAAAGCAATATTCTCAGTCGGAACACACTTCACTCACATTTTTCCTAGTTCACATATTTGGGGCATTTTTCTCTCTAGTGGCTCTTCGGATTGTATTCCGGATTTTATTATAGTTCATTAGTGAGAAGCATGCACACTATTTAGTCAATTGTCAGAGACATTGCTCATGCAAAAAAGTGTTATTGCTCGGTAAGCATAGATAGAGGCATTGTTAGCATATCTTTACTGTTCAGGAAGCTGAATGTCCGACAAAAGCTTGGTAGTATGCCATTCATTATCTGTCGAGACATTTTACGGCAGAGGCTTATACGGCTCACCGGCAAAACACGCCCACTGTCTAGAAATAAAAAAATAGAAATGAAATAATATATTATTAATTTATTATAATGGCAACTACCAGACCAGCAAAGTATTGACCGATTGAAGCCTTTGGCGAAAAAAAAAACATGATCGCCACATGTACTAATCCAAGTAGGAGTCGAGCTTGTCCTTGGTCATGCCTCGCATGCTTTTAATGTGGCGCTTGATACGGGTCTCCCACAGCCCCTCAATGGTATTAGTATGTGTTCCCGTTACCGTGTCTACAAAGTTGAGGCTGTGGTTGACCCAGCTATGCGTGTAGTTCATAGACGGTTGTTCTCGAGAGTATGTTGCTTGCTGCCACGTTCACAAACGTACGTAGCGAACATGTCGGATATGATCTTAGTTCTACAAAATAAAGTTAAATGAGGCACCGACTACCAAAAAAGTTAATAAGCTTACCGTGGCTTGATAAACTTCTTGATTATGGGAAGAAGTGTCTACTTTGTTTGTTTGTCGTATATGATCCGTCTAAACCATCGGCCAGTCCCGCGCTCCGCACCACCAAAAAGCTAGTATTCCTGGTAGTGGCGGCCTCTATTGTATTTACGCTTCTTGGCCAGGCTAGTCTCGTCAATCTCCACCATATGACCGTCACCTCCAATCTACACGCAAGATACCAGCAAGGTTAGAGCAACTTAAGCAACTTAAGCATAGTAATTGTGACACTTTACCTTTAACTCGGTCGTCAGGAGTTCCGTCGAGCACGTTCCGCGGCAGTACGCATACCAGTCACGCACTGGCGTTCGCTCGCCTCGGCCATTTCCATTGCCTGCGCCTGAGAGAGCCTCATGGTCCAGGCCAAGAGAAGGCGGACGGCCCGGTGTAGCTTTAGCTTGGCATCGTTGAAGAATGAACAGATCAGCATGCCAATGGATTGTTCTTTTCCATCAGCATGCTTAGTTCTGCGAGAGCACCGCCAGCGCTTTCGCGCCAAAGATGGCTTCATGAGGCTTCCGCAGCTTGGGCATCGCTTCTGCTTGTCTATCAGACCCACTTCCATGCACGCAGGTCTCATAGTCGCACGTCACCTCCATCACTTTAGAGAGGACGAAGAGACCTTCGTCCTCTACGTGGTACAAGTACGGTCTGCATAGTGAAGCTTGGGGCGGGGCTCGGGGCGGTACTTGATAGTCTTGGGCGCAAAATGCGTTGAGGGCAATTACATTGGCGGTTTGAA